GTCCAATTTTTACGACTTCTTTTTTGTTTATAAGAAAATTTCGTAACCTTTTAAATAACTATAACAATAATAATTATAACAAAAAAGTGTTTAGGCGTTTTTTAAATTATAACGAAAATCGTATCAAATTTTAATCAGTGTTATAAACAAAAAAATACATAGGAATATTTTAGAAATAGTGAATCAATTATCACCTGATTTTAAGGATTTACTACTAATATAAAAAAATAGTAGATAAATTGTTAAAAAATATCTGAATTAATCGACTTTATTATTTTATTAGTGTAATGCATTACATCTAACTGTTCTATGAAGTATGAAGTAGGAAGTTACAGAAGATTTCGTAGGTAGGTGCTATAGAGAACAAGATAAGACATTCTTTAGAAAGTAATGAAACAGAAGAAGAGAAATCAATCACTGAGACGCGATCAGTCTTTGCGAGACCTCATCAAGTACTCATGCTTGATGAAACCCTTTCCTAAAATTATTCAAAGTTGAATACATTCTTAAAGATATGTTTTGCATAATTTTATTCTCCATTTCAACACTATCATTCAATGAAATTTTCGAAATACCCTTAAACACTTTGTTTTGTTTATTTAAATCGAATATTTTAGTCTTAACTAAGTATAACCTTGTCCAAATAGCAAAATGTTATATTATTCAATAAATAGAAAGTAATCTCATATACTTCGTATATTATAATAATGGAACTTTAAAAATATAATGATATATATTGAATATATACCAGATATATATAAATGTTTAGTATGACTATTGTAAACGAAGTAGTGGGACATCAAATTTCAACACATCTATTGTTTGTCTTGTCATCAGATCAAATATTAATGCATCATTATTAAAAAAGTAAATCAAATCTATTTTATACGTTATTGAAAAAAAAATGTTAATTTCATCCCAGATTCCAGTCGATAGGGGTTCTAAAAATTTATGTGATTTATTTATACCTTTAATAAATACGGATAAAAGAAAATGTATGGTTAGCTACAAAAACAGCTACAATTTCGGTGACATCTATATAGAAGGGAATGCGTTTGAAAGCGTAGAGAACTTTAGGTATCTATGGTCTACAATAATTAGAAAAAAAACAAAATTGAAGAGGAGATTAAGATTATGCTGAAGAAAGAAAATGCTTGTTATTTTTCTTTGTCAAAACTCCTTTTACTTAGCTCGCGTCGGCTGTCCCGAAACTTAAAAAAGTAGAATTTACAAAACCAGTATCCTACCTACGGTTCTTTATGGATGCGAAACGTGGATGTTTACTTTTAGGGCATGTAAAGTCGTTGGGGTTAGTAACGAAAAAATTCCTAAAAATTTAATATTTGCTGTGTCGACTGGCACGCATCCGAGGGAAAGACTAAAGAGTAGATAGGAAGATTGCGTTAAGGCTGATCTTGCAGGGTTCGGTTTAGACGGCGCCCGGTGCATAGAAGAATTTAGATTTCGATTGTTGGTATTGGCATCGAACCTTAGGATTCGCTAAACCTTAGTATTATTATTATTAAAAAAAACTTTTACCTTCTCCTAAATTATCATTCAAGCCGCTCTCCAGTGCCATTGGATTTTAAACTCTAACCTGGCTAGAAGTGCAAACACTGAATATTTAGATGAGCTATTTAAGACTGGTTCTGATGAATATTCACTTCGGTAGTGAATTCTAACTCTAGGACAATGTTGGGAGAACTTAAACCACCATAATTTCAGAACCCAAGTATCAACATGAAATTAGTGTATTGGAGGCTCAATATTCCTTTCACCAAGTTTCTAATTTCTTGATTTTCAATAAATGGGAGTCAGCATCAATGCCCTCAATATACGATCATAGAACATTATGCTCAACTTTAATGATTTATTTAATTTTTTATTTATTGTACATATAGATATGGTGTGAATGTGATCTCTGAACACTATTATATATGTCATTTGAGACAGATTGTAATATTTCTCAATAAGTGGAGATGTTAAAATTATGTATCGATATTGGATATGATTTTTTCTATTAAAGCCTCTTCTAACAACAAAGTGACTGAGTGTGTTCCATCCCAACTTAAGCTAAAAGTCTTAGGCAGCTTTGAATGACGGTAGGATATTTTGAAGTATATAGTTGCATTTGGCATTTACAATGCTGAAAAACGTTATTCAATAATATCTGAAAAAGTTTATTACCACTAAAATTCGTGTCTAACAATCAAATACTTTTTTTTTTTTTTTTTAGAATTCATATTCATAAACTTTTCAAACTGTAGTGGGTACAATGAAAAATAAGTTGTATACTTTTTAACTTTTCTACCTATACTAGGCAAGTAAGGAAAGTATTACGATCGGGTAAAATTTCCGATATGTAGTTTTCGACGTATCTATAAGTTTCTTTTCCCTTAGTCCGAAGAACACATTTTCAGCCATTGGTCTGTCTGTCTGTGTCAAGACTATTTCGAGGACTAGATATTTTTTCTTTTTTTTTTTTTTTATTGTGTAGGGTTTTGACTACTGATGCCTGTGACACAAATAGGGTGCTCCATACGCAATAAGTGAAAAACATATTTTTATATAAACTGTAGCGACAAAACGGCTCAAACGATATTTAAGAAACATTCTTATAATTTTCTAATGCCCTTTCAATTTTCGTACATGTATTGAATTTCCGAGAAAATTCAGGAAAAAAAGTTATAAAAAAAAAAGAAAAAATGCTTGGGCCCTGACTAGCTTAGTGTATATTTTATTGTAAAATTCACATAACTTAAGAAACGTAATTAAATTACTTAAAAAAAAAAGAAGAAAATCACAGGAATCGGATCAGTATTAGCGACGTTACAGCGTATTCTATTTTCTACATATATTTTAATTTATTACTTTCCTACCTATACTAGGTTTTTTCTTATTTGAAAAGAAATTATTTTATGAAGAAATCGGACTATGGCAAAAAGTTTTTAATGAGCAATATAAGAGTGTATTGAATTTTTTATGTTGATCTTCTACAATCAGGTTTACATTGCTTTAGTTTATCAAAGAAATCGTACTCAAATCTTTTCTTTGATCAATTTTCAGGAAAATAAATCTAATTCAATTTATTTAAAGATATATATTTTTTTCTAAAAAATGTAGGAAATTTGTGTGAGTGGACACCCCAGATTTATTGCTACGCAATATTAAATTTTTATTATCTTTATAACTTATTTGTCTGAGTTTAAGTTTTAATCCGCAGTGCAGATCCCCTGAAGATAAGATAATGAGAAATAGAATAGGATGGTTCAGGTAAAGTTTTTACAAAGTCTATAAAGCCAACGGAAAATAAGAGAATTGTTTACAAACAATATATATCTACAAACTTACTTTTCATTTCTACAAAAAAATTCAGAAATTGGGATTTAATGATTAAGTTAATTAATTAAATGAAGTAATAATCATTCATGAATACTTATTTGATTATCACTCAATCACAAAAAGAAGGTGGCCTACAAAATATGATTTCATTTGGCCTATATATAAAGAATTTAAGCAATATAAGTAATTAAAGGCAAAGCATAAATTTGTGAGAAAATTATATATGGATTGGAAATAACTCTGTTCCTTATCTCACATATTTGAAATGCATTAATTAACTCAGATCACCATAGGCCAATTAAAAGGCAACTTATTTCGTTGCTAATTAGTTCTTTTATCTATCTCTGGAATATGTGATTTGTTGATTTTCTTTTCAGATTCATGGTTCGATATTTATGAATATCAAATTAATTTTTATATTAATATGTTTTAATGCATATGCGTGAATTATAATTCTGACTGTAGTTTATTTACAGTACACTCCCACTTAACCATCGATTAACCGGCGATAGCCGCAATCGAAAAAAAAAATAATATCTTTAAACACACTTATAACTTTGTGGGATTGTCAACCACTGGTTATAAATTTAATTTTAGTTATCGGAATCGAGCTTTGGGCCTCTACTAAACCATCAAATTCCTCTCGTATCCAATCCCTACATTCATTCATTCATTCATGTATGGCACAACATCCCGTCACCGAGACTGGGCCTCCTCCAAGAGCCTCCGCCAGTTGGCTCTGTCTTCTGCTGCAGCTCTCCAGTTCCGCACACCAAGCAGGGTTCTCGCATCATAGGCCACGTTGTCCAACCATCTCGTCCTCGGCCTTCCTACCCGTCTTACGAGGTGCAGCTCCTCCATCATTATTTTTTTTGGTATTTCAACGGTGCTCATTCTGGCCACATGCCCTGCCCACCTTAGTCTGGCCAGTTTAATATACGTGACTACGTCGATGTCTGCATAGAGAGAACTGAGCTCCCTATTTTTTCTTTTCCTCCAGACATCACCCTCCTTTACTGGACCATAAATCCTTCTGAGGACTCCTCGCTCAAAGACACTCAGCTTCATCTCATCCCTTTTAGTCATCGTCCAAGCCTCTGAGCCATATGTCAAAACAGGCCGAACAAGGGTCTTGTATATGATCAGCTTGGTCTTCTTTGAGAGGTACCTACTTCTTAAGTGTCGGCCAAGTCCAAAGACACATCTATTGGCAGCCGTGATCCTTCTCAGAAGGTTATCTACCTATGATAAAGTGTTATTGTGCTTCTCAGTGTTTTGTGTTTTTCAAGTTTGTTTTGTTAGTTTTGTTGTATCGTTTCCTACTGTTTGTGTTATTTTAGTGTTTTATAGTTTTTTTTGAACATGATTTAGTTTTAGTTTATGTTTATTTAGTTAATTTTATAAACTTTTTGAGTGAACAGTGGAGGTTAAGGTTAACTTTGTGGTTTTCACGAAGGTTTAATCTAACCAAAAGGACGTTTAGAGACTATTACGTTGGTGAAGCACTAAGGTAAGTTCATATTAAAGTCTTACTTTTGAAGATAGGAAATTTATAAGTTTCCCGAACGTAGGTTAGATTTTGAGTGTTGAATATTTCCTTCTACTGTTGTTCACCCATTATTTCAACGTATAAAGTTGTTAATTTTGGATTGCGTAAGATGGCTGATGAAATTGCATCAGCAATGGAGCAGGAAATGGTGGAAGAACAGGCTATAAAGTGCCCAAGGCCTTCAGCAAAGAGGCAAAGGAAAGGATCTCCTGACGCCCGAGAAGAAGCAGATAAAGAACGTGTAGACGATAGTCTTCTGCAAGATGCACGTAGAATCAAAGAAAACATCAGGGTCTACATGAACGCAACAGACAGGAACGTGAGTGCGAAGGTACAAAAGCACGTTAATGGGAAAATGCAGCAGTTAATAGATATAATGGAGACAATATATGATAAGAACTATGAAAAAACGTTTTTAGTACAACGTGTGGTAAAGGACACATTAGCTTCCTCTGAAATGTATGATATCATAGTAAATGCATTAGTGGAAAAAGCAGTACCTATGGTTATCGAGGGACTCAAGTCGGAAAGTAAAACCATACAAAGACCACTGTCAGAACCTCAGACATCTCGGGAGTTTCCATGCGTTAAAGAACAACCGCTATTAGCCGATGCCCACGCTATTATTGAGACCACGGAGAATGAAAGTTACCAGGAAGTACAGAAAAAGCAAAGAAGGAAAAAGGCTCTTCCACAAGTGGCCAAAGAGATCGAGGCCTCTAAACCAATATCAGAGGAAAGTTTGACCAAGAAAAGGTCTACACATCAGACTACGATGGCCGATATTGTTAAAGGGCTTCCATTAAAACCGATGGATACTACAAGACCAACATATGTTACCATCGCTTCTCAAGGTAAAAGTGCAGCTGACATCATCAACAATCTGCCTTCTCCAACTGAACTAGGAGTCAAGGCGAGAGTTGTACGGGCGACCAAAGCTGGCTCAGTTTTAGTTTGTGTAGATGAGGGTGCCCATGCTAAAAAAATAATTGAATGGCAAAAATTAAAAGAAGTTGGGATGGAGGCAAAACTAGCCTTAAAAAGAAAACCAAAAGTGGAGGTAAAAGGAGTTCCCCTTTCATGGAGTGCGGAAAATCTAGAAAGGGTGCTATGGGAAAGGTTGGCTGCAAAATCGGCCGTTATTTCTGAGAACCAATTAGGTAATATAAAGCCATTGTTCTCATCAATGGCTAGAAATAAAATTACCAATAATTGGGTGTTAGAAGTACATCCAATGGTAAGATATAATCTACTCAAGGAGGAAATAATTACAGGAGGTTGGTGGTCACTGACAATCTTAGATTACCCCGATGCTCCTCCCTGTCTAAGGTGTCAGGGATATGGACATACAAAAGCTACTTGTGAGGCAAATGGCATAGTATGCAAGTGGTGTGCGGCGAGTGGGCATATTGCTAAAAACTGTCCCGCAAAAGGAAATAAGACCGCACCTACATGCGTTAACTGCGTGAGGGAAGGTGTTCAAAAAAGTAAGGCTAAACACCAGGCAGGAAGTAGAGAATGCCCAGTGCACATCAAGAGATCTCAAGAATTAGTGAGGAGAACTCACTATGATTAGACTCAACATCCTGCAGTTGAATATGGGCCGCCGGCATATTGTGGCTGACGAGCTTCGCGCCATGGCACAACGCTACGATATCATGGCGGTCCAGGAACCTAGCTGCCGTGGGAACAGGGTTACGGGGTTTGGCCTCACGTCAAGAGTTATAGCCCTGAGCAGTGGAGAGAGGAGGCCCAGGGCTGCAATAGTGATTAATAATCCTAACCTTGACGTGATGGATCTGAGGCAACACACCATGGCGGATTATGCGTCTTGCTACGTTAAGTGGGGCAAGATTTCTTTCACATTGGTATCGGCATACCTACCTGTGAATAGTGATGTAGAAGAAAGCATATCCGCTATGGAGGCGATCATTAGAGAGATGAGGAATGTGATCATGTGCTCAGATACCAACTCCTGGAACACGGTCTGGGGGTCCAATATTACTGACAGGCGAGGCGCTAAAATGGGAAATTTCATAGGCAGAAATCACCTTGTCGTGATGAACGAACCCTCTGCCACCCCCACCTTCTCTGGAGGCATGGGGCAGAGTTGGATTGACGTCACGATCGCCACGCCTGCGCTTACGAGGTATATTGCTGATTGGACTCTCAGATCTGATACGAGTTCCGATCACGTTGCGATAGCAATTGGCCTGGTAAATGAGCCAGGATGTTCCCACGGTACTGATAAGGGTTTCGTCACTAAAATAAATGACTGGAGTGTCTTCAGGTCCTACCTGGAAGGAGTGATTGCAGACGAGGAGTGGGAAGCGGCAGAGATGGATGTAGTTGACAATCTGGACTACAAGGTGTCCAGGATTACCAACAACATTCGTGATGCTGCCGAACACTCCCTCAAGCACCGGAAGGCGAGGGTTCGACCTGTCCCATGGTGGACGCCAGCCTTAACTGTTCTAAAACGAGACCTCTACAAGGCCCGGCGGTCATATCAGAGGTGCAGATGCGAAGAGAGGCGCACTGTACTTCGCAATGAGTACAAGTCAAAAGCCAGGATATACCGAAACGAGGTTCGCTCACAAAAGCGGAAGTCTTGGGATGATTTCATCATTGAAGAGTCTTCGAAGAATCCCTGGGGTATTCCGTATAGGGTAGCATTGGGTAAGTTGTCCCCGATGCAGACTATTGCAGCCTTGCGGTATCATAATACTGAGGCAACCACCCTTGAAGAAACTGCCAATGTTTTCATTGAAGCAATATATCCCAGAGATGACCCAACCCAGGACAGCGAAAATGATGATTTTGTGAGACGCACCACGGTATATCCACCTGGTTCAGATTTGTGCCCACCATGGGACATTCACGATCTTCGTATTGCCGTGGATAAGCAGAAGACTAATCGTGCTCCAGGACTTGATGCAATAGATGCAGCGATCTTGAGGAACAGTATCACGTATATTGAAGACCGGCTGTTGAGTATTTTCAATGAATGTCTGGATATGGGATACTTTCCAAGAAGATGGAAGATCGCTGATTTGAGACTACTCTACAAGGGAGGAGATAGGGACAAACAACTCCCTAATTCATATAGACCTATATGTCTCCTCCCTGTGATTAGCAAGGTCCTGGAGAACCTCATGATGACTAGTTTACGGCCTGTTTTCGCTAGAGCAAGTCATCCACGGCAATATGGATCAACCAGAGGCAGAGGAACCGCTGATGCCCTGCTGAGAGTGCGCAGAGATGTTGAGGAGAGGGCGGAGCGGTATGTCATGTTGCTTCTTTTCGATATATCCTCCGCCTTTGACAGCGTATGGTGGCCTAGCGTGCTCCAGCAGCTGCAGAGGTATGATGCTCCTAGTAACTTATACACATTAGTAAGAAGTTATCTCCAGGATAGAAGTGTCAAGATTAGAGGCAATTACTACGAGGTAGAAGCTTCCATAGAGAGAGGTTGCCCTCAGGGATCGGTGCTTGGTCCTGCTCTATGGAAGCTCGTCTTTGATGAGTTACTGGGAGTGTTAGAGGAGGAGCGGTTTCCTGCCACTGCTTACGTTGACGACCTAGCTGCTGTGGTGGCCTCCAACAGCAGAGCTGGAGTCAAGAGAGAAGCAGAGCGATGCGCCAGCCTAGTCGCTAGATGGTGTGAGGGGAAGAAGATGAGGATGGCTGCTGCTAAGACTCAAGCCATCCTCCTTAAGGGAAAGACTGATAGGGCACACCCTATAACGATGTACATAGAAGGTCAGAGGATACGTCCAAGTGAGGTGGTAACCTACCTAGGGGTTAGGTTAGGTGTAGGCCTCAATATGACGCCTCATTTGGAATATCTGGCAGGTAGGGTGGCCCTAGCAATGAACGGTCTAAGTCGTGGGGGGGGCGCATTTTGGGGCCTTAGGTATCCAGCCACTATCACTATTTATAAGGGTGTTGTGGAGGGTATCCTTAGGTATGCGTCTCCCTTCTGGTTCCGAAACCTCACACTCAGACAAAGAAATAGGCTAGCATCGACTCAGAGAACTGCTCTGCTTCGGGTCACCAGAGCATATAGGTCTACGTCGCATGAAGCAGTGCAGGTCTTAGCGGGGGTGGTGCCTCTCGACCTCCTCCTGCGAGAAGAAGTGACCAGGTATGACTACAAGAAGGAGGGCTCAACTAGTCTATCGGAGAACCTACGGATGAGGATTATTGAAAACCCAAATAAATGGAAAAAGATTATCCGGGAGGAAACAATTGAAGATTGGAGCAGACGGTGGGTGACGACTCCGAAAGGCAGTACCTTAAGAAAATACTTTCCCACCGTTGAATCTCGGTTACAGGCGAAATGGGTCCTCCCGGACTATTGGGTTTCACAATTTCTCACGGGGCATGGGGGTTTCAGAGCTAAACTCCATGGCTACGGACAGGATATAGATCCCCACTGCCCCGATTGTGGTATTCCGGAGACTGTTGAGCATGTGGTCACGGCCTGCATTGCTTTCGACGAATTAAGAGCGAGGTTAATGAGAACCACGGGGATTTACGTCCTCACTGAGGAGGAGTTTCCTCAGTTGGTGAGTGAAGAAAACTTCCCGCGGTTCAAAGAGTTTATAAATGGCTGGAAGACGGCGGTGGGCCCAGCTCACTTTAACCTAAGTGCACGCAGGAGAAGAGGACCAGTCCCAGGAAGACCTCCGGATTCGGGAAGCCAGGCCTAAAGGAGCCAGGAAAAAGTAGAAGAGCTAGCTGTGTGCACAGCTTAGAACTTTGTAAACTGATATTATGGCAGTAGTGTGTTATTATGCAGTAGTGCTTAACATCACACTACTGCATAAACCCGTGTTGCCCTGGTGGCATGGGAGGGTGGAAAACAAATAAAAAAAAATAAAAAAAAAAATAAAAGCCGTGATCCTTCTTTGTATTTCTTAAGCCATGTCATTCTTGCTATTGATTTCAGACCCAAGGTATATAAAACTTTTCACTCTCTCAAACTTAAAAGAACCTACCTCAAATGGAGAGTTCAGATCCACCTCACCGCCAACTCTCATATACTTAGTTTTCCTCTCGTTGACTTCTAGACCAAGTGGTCTTGCAGCTGCTTCAAGGCTTATAAACGCTTCTCTGAGAGCCCGTTCAGACCTACCTACTATGTCAATATCATCAGCAAAACCAAGAAGCTGTGTCAGGCGATTGAAGATTATATCTTTGGTCTGAATACCGGAGTCTCTTACAGCTTTCTCCTCTGTCAAATTGAACAATAGACAGGCGAGGGCATCCCCTTGCCTAACCCCACTGCTCACTTTAAACTCTTCGGAGTCGTCAGAACCGACGCGTATTCTGCATCTCGAGCTGTCCATGGTCATCTTGATTAGGCGTACGAGCTTCTGAGGGATGCTTAGCTCCTCCAAGGCACAGTATAGTTGCGTTCTATCAACGCTGTCGTATGCTGCTTTAAAGTCCAGGAATAAATGGTGGGTGACTACCTTACGCTCCATAGTCTTTTCTAGGATCATCCTCAGAGAGAACAGTTGATCAGTCGTTGAGCGTCCTCTTCGAAATCCAGCCTGATATTTCCCCAGTTCCTTTTCAGAATACGGGAGGATCCTCTCAAAAAGAATGTTAGAGAGCAGCTTATAAGCACACGAAAGGAGTGAGATTCCTCGATAGTTAGCGCATTCTGTTTGATCTCCTTTCTTATGTATTGGGCAGATAATGGCTGTTGCCCATTCCGTAGGCATAGCTTCCTTCTCCCAGATGGTCAGCATTAAATCATGCAGAGCTTTCTTGAGTTCTTCACCTCCACATTTCAACAGCTCTGACTGGATTCCGTCCGGGCCTGGCGCCTTTCCATTTTTCATTTTCCTCAGGGCGTTTTCCATTTCCTCCTCATCCGGGGGTTCAATAGAATTCAGGGAGTCTTCCTTCATTACACCTACTTCTCCAGGCACCGTTCCTCTGTTTAATGCGCCTTTGAAATGTTGTACCCATCTCCTTAGTACGTCATCTTTGTGGCTTAAAAGAGTTCCATTTGTGTCTTTGCATGCCGTCACTCTGGGCCTAAAAGCTGCCCTACCCTCGTTTATTCTCTGAAAGAACAGGCGACTTTCATTTTGGCCTCGCGATGCCTCTGTGTCCTCCATGTTCTTATTTTCCCAAGCTCTTCTCTTTCCGCGGAATAATCTCTTCTCTTCGCGTCTTTTTCTTCTATATGTTTCTTGGGAGAGCCTTGTGGGACGCTGAACCTTCTTTCTGTAGGCTTCATTTTTCACTTTTACTGCTTGAAGGCACTCAGCATCAAACCATGGGGGCCTTCTAGATTTAGTCTCGTAGCCAAGAGCTTCTTCTGCTGCCTGTTTCATTGCGTTGCTGCATCTCTTCCACTGTTCATCGACCATAGAGCTGTCATTAATTACTTCTTCATTAAGTTTCGTCTCCACAGCTTGTTGATACGAATATTGGTGGTCTGAGTCCTTAAGTTTAACCACATCAATCTTCTTCTTTGGTCGTTGGTAGTGGTTTTTAATCAGCGAAATTCGTGATCTGACCTCGGCAATGCTCAAATAGTGATCCGTGTCCATATTTGCACCTCTATAAGATCTTGCATTTATCATGTTGGACTTGTGACGGGTACTAATGAGTACATGGTCTATCTGTGATGCTGTTTGCCCATTTGGAGAGATCCATGTTGCTTTGTGGATATTCTTTCGAGGAAAAAGAGTTGATCCAACAACCAGTCCGTGCAACGTAGCAAAGTTCACCATCCGTAGCCCATTATCATTACTGGTCTCATGCAAGCTGTGGGTTCCTATGGTCGGCATGAGTGCCACCTCCTTACCAACTTGTGCGTTAAAATCACCAAGAATGATTTTAACATCATTTTTGGGGCAGCTTTCTGTCACGCGTCCAAGTTCTTCATAAAATGCTTCCTTATCCTCCTCAGGTGACACCTCTGTTGGGGCATGGCAGTTGATTAGAGAGAAATTAAAAAATTTTCCTCTAAGCCGAATGTAGCATAACCTTTGGTTAATGGGAGTAAATCGCATCATCAACTGTCGAGCTCTGCCTCTCACAACAAATCCGGTACCGAAGATGTGATGCTTTTCATGGCAGCTATAGTAGAGTGTATGGTACTTCTTCTCCATAATTCCCTGTCCTATCCATCGGACCTCTTGGATAGCTGCTATGTCGATTCTGTATGTGTCCACTTCTGCAAGGAGCGCACGAAGTGCTCCTAGTCTATGTAATGATAAAATGTTCCAAAATCCAATTCTTAGGTCATTTAGGCGTTTCCTGGGTCTGTTACCGTAATTCAGTCCGGCTTCTTCTCTTTGAGGTTTCGTAATAAGGTACTTTAGGGGGGGTGGGTTATCAGCCCACTGCCCCCGAGTCAGGTAGAGGGGCTGCCTCCTCCGAGCATCCTGACTAGCTCCCCCATCCGGGGCGGCTACCTAGGGAAGGTGACCCTAGGGTGTGTACTGTAGGTGACCTTTGTCTGTAGTGTTTAGGTGTTGTAGTGTGCTGTGTAAAGTGTACTTGGTGTGTGAGTGTTCGTGTAAGTGTTCCCCCAACCTGGAGGGCCAGTGGCTGGTTGCGGTACAATGACCGGGCGATGGGACCGCCACCTCCCTACGCCAATCCCTACAATCCGAAATCCTTCGTAAAATCCTTAATGCTCCCTACTTTGTCACAAATAAAATCATCCATAATGATCTTAATGTACCATATGTTTCCGATTTAGCTCACTCCAGATACCTGTCCTTTCATAATAAAATTCTGAACCATCCGAACCCTCTCGTTTCCAACCTTGCTTCCTCTTCTATTCCTGATAACCCTCCGAGGCGTCTAAAAAGAAGATGGCCTCGGGACCTTCTAATATAGAAATATAATTGGAGTGCTACCAATGGGTAGTTTCTCCTCATGTTGTACATGCCATATTACTTGTTCATATTTACTTATTGTATTTATTATTAATTACAGTTGTAAATTTCGTTAATAAAAAAAAAATTAGATATGGTTCGAAAGATTTTAAATAGGTTGAAACGTAGACAAAATGTTCTTCTTTATTATTTTTATACAATTGACCGTACCTCAATAAAACAATTTTTTTCGATGTAAATTGGATCTTGAAACGAAATTCTTATCCTTCATTTATTTCATCCAGAAATGAAGGAGAAATAATGCGTACTTACCAACGAAGTACTGTAAATGAGTAGATTACTGAAGTTAGACATGACACATTTTCTTGAAAAGGTTTTAGTAGAGGTTTTTTTTTGTGTACTACGTTTTTCTTTTCAGTAGTGCTACACCTTTCGTTCAATTAACTAGTTTGAAAAAAATGAGTGAAAAAATAAAACGAGTTATCGTGCCGTTCAAAGACTACTTTTTAAAGATTTCCCCGCAATAATGGAGTTTTTAAAAATAACAACCTTCGTATTAACCGGATCTCCGCCTTAACCGACGACGTCTCGGTCCCGACATGCGGGAGTCTACTGTATATTGTACCTCTTAATGAACGTAATGCTCTCAGAAATGCGATAAAAATTACAAAAAATGTACGTACTCCTTTCCAACGAAATAAAATCATCTGCAAAGTACGGAGAAGTGAAAGCAAGAAATGCTTGAAAATTGTTAGGAAGTATTCCAACTGTATTTAATAAGGCAATAGGTCCGGACTACAAGATGTATGGGCTCTATACGCTCTGGTGGAATAAAAGTTTGAAACTCGTGTATGCAAAGGCTTTTCCATTTCTATGACTTTCCTCTTTCCTCGGTATAAGCAGGAAAATAAAACTTGGACCAGGACTTAGTAAGATTGGTAAATTTTGTTTATAAGAGCTTGTAAAACAAATAAAGTTTTACAAGTTCATAAATTATTTTTCTTTAGGACTATTTTTTTTTTAGCCCCGTTCTGTTTTAGTTTATTTATGGATATATATATATATATATATATATAATTCGTAATTAAAAAGCCATTATAAGTTCATTTCATGTTTACGATGTAAAATGTAGATTATTCGCATTCAGACTGATAAAACTTTATTTTAGAAGGAAAATCCAAGTGTTACAAAAAATGAGATTCAAAATAACAAACTAGAAGAATACATTCTGAGGGCAACTTTTTTTTTTATTATCTATGAGAATTTTTCACGTGTTCCAATTGCTTCCAATCCAAGATAAAATTGCTGGCCATTATAAACTTTTATTTTTTAAACAATAAATTTTTATAAACTATGCAGTAACCTGACAAATATTATTACTTTACGCTAAGTTACTTTAAATTGACTTTCTACCAATGCAGTTTAGGTATGTATAAAATATATCTTAAAACCTTTATTTCAATTTATTACAAAAAAAAAAAATTATATAAAATAAATATTTTATCCGATTGTTATTGAGATTTTACCATTGTCATTAGAAGCTAGAGATTAAAAAGCTGAAAAAATTTAATTATTTATAACGTTATTTATCGTTACTTAAAGCATTGTGCTCATAAGCTCATAAGTCTTGGTCTCGATTTCGGCTGTAGCAGTTGATTATTTATTTTAGTTTTTTATTTATACTAAGGTAAGTAAATCCTCTTTGGACACTGTAAGCATTTATAAAGTGTGTATTCTTAGATAATTGAATAAGAGGGAAAAAAACTACGGTGTGTTCTTTATACCACAAAAAAAAAAAAAAAATGAAAACATCAACAAAGCGGGATAATAATATGAAATATAAATTATAAATAATAGCTCATTATAAAGAGAATGAAATGTTGAACATTTTGCTCGAGTGCAGTATGCAAGTCTAAGTTTTAATCCATACCTTCAGTAAAACTCTTTTCAGTTGGTTTTCGACACTATTTTTCCCTTTTCACCTCTCTAACACGGCGGTGTGTTATGATACAATTTTGAATAATAACTTATTACAAATAGGATGAAATGCTGAAGAATGCCCTTGCTTACAGTTTGATTTTTAGTTTCTGAGATATTTTAATCTTTATTCAAAAACACTTCAATTCGTCGACTCGAGCCGACTTCACCTGAATGAGCGTTACATTTCCGAGCCTGACGGCTCCTTTTCATTCACTCTTCACAAAAAAAGGTGAACAACGCGCGTGTTCGTGATCAAACTACTTATCAATCTTTCATGAAACGAATTTATCGGTTATTTTACATTTTGTCATTTATGCATACAATTATTTTTTTGCTGACTCAGAGTTTGCTGAGAAATCAGACCAGTACTGTAGGACTGTGTGCGGAACCATTAGCGACAGTTGTTGAAGTCGTAACTTGATGATTTATACACAAAGTAGCATCCCGGTGGGTACGTCACAAATGAACTGTTCTCACTAATAATATGAGTTACACTAACTGCTCTTTTAGGCTGACAATTAATGATCCAAGTTTTCTCACGTAACAGATGGACTTGGGCACCTTCTTGCCTACTTCCTTTGTTAGTCAACGCTTTGTCATCCGAACGTGAACTTCAATTTTTTAATTATTTTAATACAGGGCTAAGCGCTCTCATCAATGTGGATATGGATGGGAAATGTCGAATTTTGATAGAGAGGGAATTCCAGAAATTGACAGAGCGAGCAATAAAGGAGTTTTGGAAAGTGGCAGATCTGTGAGAAGGCTTGTAAAGGTTAGAAGATCGAGATCTTGTGGACAGGGAATACACTGAGGATTTGAACTGGAGAAGGTTGTAGGCGTAAGAAGGACGATGGTTGTTGATGGTTTGGTAGAGGAACTTACATAGGAAATATTGTGTTCGGAAGGAGGGGAATAGCCACTTTAACTCAGCGTAGTGGTGAGAGACATGGGAGTGTCTTGGCACCGATCACAAATCTCACGCAGCTGTTCATTAGTCTTTTCGGTCTATCGCGGAGCTCCACTGAGAGGCCATCATACACCACACAGCTACACGTATGTTGAGGTAGGATGGAGGTGTCGGAAGCGATGGAATAGATTGAGGATTGAAAGTGTCCGTCGAGATATATGAGAAATATGGTGATTCTTTATTTACTTTATTTTCATTTATTGTATATATTTCTTTGTTATTTTGCTTCTATTAATTTTATATTTTCTGTATATATGGAGTGAATGTATATATACAATCATATCTTATTGAAATTATTGTCCAGGTGATAAGAGTATTATATTATTTAATAAATAAATATTTAAAAAAAATTTAGTGAATGCAAAGTTTCGCAATTATTAATGATTAATTACATTATAATACATTTACCAACCTTGCGTTTTGCGCCATTTTCCTAATCATCACGTATCTTTTTTCCCCTATTAAATTAATGCGTTAGTTATTTTAATTTTTGTTTTGATTTTCTGTTGGAATTACGAACCTTATATATGTTTTACCTTCTTGGCCAGCCTTCTTCATTTCTATCAATCTTGGGTTGTTGAATCCCGAATCTCTTCGGTTATCGGGCGGAAGATTTTTCTCTCAAATATTTCAATACTTTTTTCTAGGATGCTTGCTGATGTCCAAGTCATATAATATAACTGATTTTATCTTAGCGCTGTACAACATTAATTTGATTTTTTGAAAGTGCAATACCTGTGAAAGGGAGAAGAAAGCTCTATTTTCGCTACTTATACACTGGTCTAATTCCGGTTGTTAACCATTCACTGAGTTTATTGACGAGCCGATGTGTTCGAATAAGTCTACTGCTGGTAACGATTTCCTTTCTATTTCTATGCAGACCCTGTTATTGGGCTGAGATTTTCGTATTCGTCTTAGCGAATTTCTCAAAATCATCTTTTTTGCTTCCGAGGACAGCTATATTATTTGCATATCCAAGGATTCAACTTCTCTATCGCTAAGTTACTACATCGGTGGGAGTCTATCTTCGAGTTTAAAGGCTTCAGAAACTTCTGCTTGTACTGGGGCTCGACAATAAGGTTATTTCTACATGACTTCGTCAGTCTCAACAACTTACCGGTAACTCCATCTTCAGTCATTATTTCTTAAATAGAGTTTCTATCCACTGAATGACAGTGGTTTTAAATCGACAAATAAGGCGTTAATTATTTAAAAAATTTAAATTTTGTTACAAATGATCATAATAATCTAAACCAGAAGTCGACAAACTTATTAGCCAAAGAGACATATATGATCACTAAATTGGTAGCCAGATCTGCTTGTTTAGTAAACTTTTATTACACTAAATAAGCAGTACACTAAATAAAACTAATTGTCATACTTAATAAATATTAATTAATGCAAAGAATGTGCTTGCATCTAATTGGAAAGTTTGAGTAAGTCAGGTTTGTATGTTGTTGATTTTAATTTTAGGCATGATTCCAAATGCTCATCAATAAGAAGACTTCTCAGTTTACTCTTGATAATGTTCATGCTTGAAAAATATTGTTTGCATATATATGTAGAACCGAAAAGGGAAAGAACAGCAAACGCGAGCTGTTTCAGCTGATCGTAAGAGTCAGGAATTCTATTCCAAGCTTTGAAAATGATCATGTCTTCCTTCTTCAGGTCATTCAAAGCTTGATCTTTTTTCAAAGTTGTGATCTTATTTCACAACAAGACAAGTGGTCTTGTGTTGTTGTGAAATAAGATCACATTTTTCTTCTTCGATATTTCCAATTCAACACAAAGACGTTCGAATTCAGAGCGCCATATCTCCTTGTTTTTTAAATCCAGCAATTGTATTTCAAAGCTAGCAAAATAAATTTCAGAAGAAGAAAATTTCAACTGGGTTATCGTAGCATTAAGAGGATTTTTGACAAACGCTAAAGTTCCTGTTTTTAAATTTCTTAAACCTGCTGATACAAAACATTGTACATGTTCTCGATTTATAGAAGAATTTTAATTTATCAAAATAAATTTAACAAGATTGCATGACTGGTTCAAAATTTGGAAAATCCGACTAAATCAAGACAAATCACAGCACATCACATTTACGCTTCGACATGAAACATGCCCTCCAGTTTTCCTTGACTGTACACAGATTCCACAGACAGACACCGTTCACTACCTTGGTCTGACATTTGACAGAAAAATGACGTGGGGCCCATATATAATCAAAAAACGAAAAACGTTAAATCAAAGATTAAGAATTCTGAGTTCACTTCTTTCAAAAAATTCAAAACTAAAACTTAGACAGAAATTGAACACATACAATTACTTACTAAAACCTATTTGGACTTACGCATCACAGATATTTGGAACTGCTAAACTCACTTAAACAAACTTCAAACCTTTCAAGCAAAAACATTCAGAACAATTACAAAAGCACCTTGGTACGTTAGCAACATAACCTTACATACTGACCTCCATATGCCGACTGTTAACGAACACATACGTACTCATTACAAACGATTTCATGACAACTTACAAGGACATGCTAATACACTTATAAACTGCATGGCCACTATGAATATACCAGGTAACGTCTGTAGAAGACTGAAGAGGAGCTGGATGAGGGACCTCCTCGCCTAATGTATCACGCCGAGTGAGGTGCCGCTGGGCACTGATCCTCCTCATGACATTCTATTAATCAATCGATCTCACATTCACTGGTTGTCATTAGCATTATGACAGGTGTGAATAAAACATTAAAGCTAAAAAAAAAAAAAAAAAAAAAAAAGAAAGATGTAATTATTTTCTTAACAAGTGTTTTTTAAATGAAAGTATTATTGCGCCTTCCGTGGAAATTTATGATAGAGCCGCACTTAAGGAGCCAAAGAGCCACAGCGGCTCTGGAACCGCACTTTGCCGACCACTGGTCTAAACATCTCTGTTAAAACCGGGGATTGAAATTGAATTAAAACTTTTATTTTTATTCTGTTTCGGTAAGACTGCAATTTCTATTTTCGTTTTTTTTTTTTCTTAATAGTTTAACAGAAACAGTTAAAATTTCATATTTTTTAAAAAGTTTAAATTCATAGTTAAAACTATTGTTTATTTGTCCTTTCAATGGCAATTAAAGCGTCCTAGTAATTTATGTATCTATGCTAACGAGCTTACAGTTGTAGGATACGATGCGGTTGTCACAAATATCAGATGGTAGAGACGAGAATAAAAAGCGCTTAACGATGACCATTGGAAGCAGATGGCGACGGATAAAAACAATAGGGCACATTAGGAGAAGCATTATGGAATATATCTGCCCCTAGGGCCTGATAAGGGCAGTTAGCGCCCTCGGTGGGGGCAAGTCCTCCCTAATTGGATCTCCAGCTCTGTCTTTATTATAATCGCCCTTGTCATCAACATCTTCATTATATAAACATCGTTAAACGGGAAATAATTAATAATAACCATTGAGCCGTCCAGAATATTCTGCCCGATGGGTCGTAATCGGGGGTTAACGATTTCACCATCGGTAGACTGCTAAGAATAAATTTGTATTGATAATAAAATGTATTAAAGTCTGCTAAATTGTGGCATTAGACTATTTTTACTATTTAAACATATATTATTTAATAATATCATATATTATATAAAGTATATACCTACTGACACAAGCTATTCACTCATGAATATCCATAAAAATATTTTTTTAAAACCACGAAGATGTTAAAAAAATTAGATCATTTGAAATAAAAAAAATACTGTAAACACAGAAGCTTAATATTTTAGATGTTCTTTTATTATTATTATTTATTCATTTATATAATTAATATTTGTAATAATAAATTTATATGATTTTGTACATTATTATAGTTTTAGCCTTGCAATTTTCATTTAAACAAATACCTTCATCTTTTAATTGTTAGGTTATATCACATTATCATCACTGTATTATATTATAACTTGTTTTATTTAAATAATAATAAAAATTTCACTTAATATATAAAAAAAAATAAAATATTAAAATTTAATTATATCTTTGAATTGTTCATAAATCAATAATTTTAAAACTGGTTTAAAAAAAAATATATATATAATTTACAAAAAAAAGGGAAGTTGTACAAAAATTATATTGCCTCTTTCTGTTATCGAAAGTAGTAAATTTTTCAATATTGGATATAGTAATGCTGAATGTAGCACTAGTCCCGTTAGAATAATATCAGAGTTTCATAATTAAGAACAATAGTCTGGCTTATGTGAACACAAAATGATGGCTAATTAACTTTTGATTGTCATTGCAATTTTACAGTTGATTGAATTAAACAGTGTACAAAAGCATATAAATTTTACATGTTTGCGGAAATTTTAATATGGAGTAGGCGGTGGAACAGGAAGCAGGAAAGGAAAACAGGAAGTATATAATGTGTATTAATAAAATATAAACTTCCGCATGAATAAATGATTTTATA